CTTCTCTCCATTTAGGATGATCTTGGCTGTTGGTTTTTCTCCGGTACCGGGAACCGAACTCACGACCTTGCGCTTGCCAGGCAGGCGCTTTGCCGCTGAGCTAAATCCCCAGCCCCCTAGTGTTGCATTTAAAAGGCCAATGAATAAATAAGTCACTTTGATAGATGAGGACCTGCATCTAAAAGAATCTTGTGAAAAACAGTCTTAAATACCACCTGAAGTTCTGCTGACTATCAACACAGCTTCATTTGCCTGAACTTCCATTTTCCAACATGGTTTATGTCCTAACTTCAAACTGACATTTGTACTGCAAAGGAGCTCTTATGTCACTTGTATTCTTTCTCTACCTTCCAAATTATGATATTCTCTTGTATATTTCTGTTAACAGTTCCAAGAATTTGAATAGTTAGGCACATGTTGCTTTCATAAATGTTAAATCTGGGACTGGCTAGAGCAGGAAACAATATGTCTTGCTGATATATCAACTTTAGCATAAACTTCTTGCTGATCCAATACTCAACTGATGACCACAACTTAAAACTCAGCATTCCAAGCAGAAGCCCATGATCCTGAAGTGCACCTGATGTGTTTAGACATCATTAAATAAGTCAATAAAATAGAAAGTGAAGAACACTTTTATCAGATTAAATAAGTGTGATGGCTAAATATCAGTGGCAAAATAGTGTGAAATAGTCTAACAAATATTTCACATTTTGTTGAATATCTTACACACAGCATCTTTTAATTCTTTTTAATACACTCTTGTGGGTTCAACTATTTATTTCAGAAATTTGTATATTGAAGTCCTATCCCAGTACTCCAAAGATGACCTTTTTTGGAAATATAATTGGTTAAGGACATCCGTAGTGATGCAGGTACCTAATCCAACATGACTGGTGTTTTTGTATAAGGGAAAACTTGGACACAGACATACATACAGAGAAATCACCATATAAACATAAATATAGAAAGTAGAGTAATATACCTGCAAGACTAGTAGTATGTTTTGTATCTAGATGTCCTCGCAAAGCCACATGTGGGCATCTAGCTTTTTTGGAGGTGGCTGACTCTGGAGTAGATGATTCTGGGACTAAGTCCCAGTCTACTGTTTGATTTGGCATAGTTCCGGCCAGGATTAAGAGTGCTGAGAGCTACATCCATCCTAGAGCAGGCAGCTGCATAAAATATAAGGACAGAATCTTGTCTCCCCTTGCTTGCTTGCTTGCTTGCTTGCTTGCTTGCTTGCTCACTCTTGCTGCCTTCTGCTGCCATGAACTGTTTCTCCTCTGGGATGCCCCTCTACCAAGCCACAATGCCTCAGAGCCACCCCATTATGGACTGTAAGTTCTACAAACTGTGAGCTAAATAAACCTTTCCCCTTTAAGTTTCAGTGTCAAGTATTTTGTCTCAGCAACAAGAGAAAAGTAACTAAGATAGAATTTGGTACCAGATAAGTGGGTTCTTGCAGTGACTATACCTGACTAGGTGGTTTAGGATACTTTGTGAATGGCTTGTGGGAAGAGTCTGGAAAGGTTCAGAGTTTCCAGCTGAAAAAATAGAGCTGGAGTGCCTTAAGTGGTACTATATGGGAAATTTTGGTCAGATCGCAGAGAACCAGAAGGCTGACAGAAATTCTGCTGGTAAAGACCAGGTTTGGGAGGTTTCTGCTGGGAATAAGGACTGCATCGGCTTTTGGACTCCAGACAATGTGTATTATGGCTTGCAAAAGTTTGTCTGCAGTCTGAAATTAAGGGCAACAGACTCATTAATCTGGCAAAAAATATTTCAAGGCAATCTAATGTTGAAGCAGTGGCATGGCTACTGTTGGGGGCTTTTAGCCAGATCTATGTTGAGACTCAAGAGTAAAGAGGCCAGCAGAATGATTTAAAATGTTTTGAATTTGGCCAAAATGGGAACTCCAGTAAAGCTATGGACTGCAAAGATAGAGCAGAGTAGAACTTGACTGCTGGGAAGGAATAAAAGAATAGAAAAGATGGCCTGAGGGAATCACAGGAAGCAGAAGGACTCCAACCTTTGCAGTCTCAAAATTGCAAAAGTGAAGGATTGGTTTGAGAAGAGAGACCCAAAGCATCATGTTCCAGCATGGTGGCAGCCTAGGTGGCAGCCAATCCTTATTCCTCAGGATTTGGTTCATAGGCACTCAACTCCCACAGACAAGAGAGAAGGAAGCCTGTACACTGCTGCAGCTGGCAGCAGACCTTGGCATCATTTACATAGTGGTGGTTTTAGGTGCTTACAGAATGGAAGAGTTGTGGTGTCAGGAAGGCTACCACCCAGTCTTCTGAAGAAGTCCTGGGAGGCCACCCACTGTGCCCCTGTGAGGGCAGTGTGTGATGCTGTGAGTGTGAAGCCAAAGGTGCAGTGGACACCTCAGAAGTTTGGAGAAGGCAGGAATGTGAATTACCTGAGGGAAAATTGCAAGGCGGGAACAGAGTAGTTCCAAGAGAGAAACTACAGGAGAGCTACAACTACCAGAAGTGCCATAGGAGCAGAACCACTCAATCCCTTTGGAGTTCACATCTTGCTACAATTTGCCTTACATGCTGCATGTGGAACTACATGACTTAATGTTTGCCCTTTCTGGGTTGGGACTTGTTTTGGTCTCATCCCTTTGCATCCTCCTGTTTGTAACTTTTGTAATGGAAATGTCTATCTTGTGACATTGAATGTTGGAAGTATTTAACTTTTCATTTGTATAGAGGCTAACAGCTAAGATTATCTTAAATTTGAGATGAGATTTGGGATTTGGACTTTTCAGCAATGCTGAAACTGTTAGAACTTTGGCAACTCTTGGAGATGGACTAAATACCTTCTACATAAAGGGATATGAATGAGTCTTTGGGGAGCCAGAGGTGGAAAGTTATAGTTTGTGTCTAGATTTCCCCAAAAAACCTCATGCAGTCACAGGGCTTTTTCAGAGGTGCCTGAATCTAGACTGTGTGATGCTGGGATTAAGGGTGTGTGATTACTAAATCAGTCCACTGATTGGTTTGGCACTGCCCTAACCCCAGTAGTCTGGATAAGATAAAAGGAGCAAAAAGACACTGTTAAACTCCTTCGTTGCTTTTGCTGTCTCCTTCTGCCATGAACTGTTGCCCCTCTGCCATGTGCTACCTTGCCTCAGAACCAGCAGATGATAGCCTGAAACCTTTACAAACTGAGATGAATAAACCTTTCCTCCTGAATCTTTAGGCATGAGGTATTTTGTCTCAGCAATGAGAAAAGTAACTAAGACAGAATGTGACACTTAGACAAAAACCAAAACATCAAGGACCACAAACAATTGTCAGTAATCACTGAGAAGCCAAGAGCAACATAAAATGTGTTCTTCCTCAGAGCTCTCAGAGGAAAATGACTTGCTGACACCTTGACTTTAGACTTCCAGCCTCTAGAACTGTGAGACAATCAATTCATCTATTTAAACCATCCATTTTACAGAGCTTAGTCATAGCAGCAGCAAACGTGCAGACATGTTTGAGCAAATATTTTAGTCATAGGCAAGGTGGCCTAAATTTTTTCTTGAGGTTAATACCCACAAATTAAATCCCAAATAAGAAAGATATGATACGTATGTGTTAGACCACAGAGGTAAGAAGAGGTACATTTGTCTATCCTTTAAAGAAATGGTAGCACAAACAAGGGAAATCTTGTGTACTATTTTTCAGGGCCATATCAAGTTCAGACTTCAAGCATCTTCATTTACTAATTCTGCTACACTTATTCTGAGACTAGCTAAAAGACTGCTGCTCATGACCAAAGGGCTTTAATTCCATCCACCTAGCTAATAAGCGCTCAGCCTCTTATTTTAAAAAGTCACTATGAGGTGAGTGGGATGGCCAATAGGCAAACCACTAAAGACCATTGGGACTTTTTTGCTTGTTGCTGAGACACAGAATCTACATCCACAACTCAAAGAAGTGAGGTCTAATCTCTCACAGTTTCAGAGAGATACAGTTAGTGTTGGCCTCACTCTGAGGCAAAAACATCATGAGGGAAGGGCATAGCACAGCAAAGATGCTTGGTTCATGGTGGCTGGAAAGTAAAGCAAAGAAACAGTGCCAGAGGGGAAAGGTCAGGAGAACCGACTTCGACTCCAAGATCACACCCCTATGGCCCATTTAGAAACACCCAGAACTGCACTCCACCCATCTCCCAGGAGGAGGCCAAAGCGTGTCAAGTAAAACTCACCCTAACTGCCACAGGCAGTGACAAGTATTGGATACTATAGTACAATGACAGATACGTGTCACTGTAGCTTTTCAAGCCCATAGGACATACAATGCTAAGAGTCAAGGTAGATTACAATCTTAAGGTGATGACTTTGTGTCTCTGTAGGTTCAGCAATTGTGACAAATGTACCACTTAGAATGTTGACATGAGAGAGACTCTGTGGCGGGGGGGCAGAAAATGTATGAGAATTCTGGACTTCTTCATACTTTTGCTGTGAACCTAAATCACTAAAACAAAAAAAAAGTTTTAAAACCATTATTACACATTAGGTAAAATATCTTTACATAAGGGGTCAGTCTCTACACTGAGACATTTATAAAAGCAGTGAGAAGTTGTGTGGCAAGTAGTGGAAGCCAAGTATATTAGCCACCTTCTCCTGCTGGTGAGAAAACACATAAATCAATCAAGGAAGGAAAGGTTTATTTTAGCTCACGGTTTCAGAGTTTTCAGTGCATGATTACTCAGTTCCATCGCTAAGGCATAATGTCAGGGTGGAAGGATGAGGTGGAAGAAAGTTGCTCACCTCATAGCAAAGAGGAAGCAGAGACAAAAAAAAGAAAACCAAAGAAGAGGCCAGGGACAAGCTATAAGCCCAAAGGTCATACCTCATGATATACTGTCTTCAACTAGGCCCCTCCTTCCAAATTTCCATCACTTTTTAATAATGCAATGAAATTATGATCTCATCAGTGAAATCACCCACTGATGAAGGTAGAGTCCTCATGATCGGCTCAGTTTCTGAACACACAGCTCTCATACACTTTCTGATTCCACAGATGCAGCACCTCTCTCATAATCACCATCCCTCATCCAAGTGCACATTGGTCACAGCTGATGAACCTACATGAACACAGAGGAGTCACAACTTGGGGGACCTTTGGGGGACATTGTAAATGTAAATCATAAAAGCAAGAGGCTCTCAGACACCAAAATGGGGGAAGCAATGCTCAAAGAGCAAATACTCACCTCAAACTAATTCCCTGAGTAAATGAACCAAGAAATTACTCCAACCCTGTTTTTATAACCGTTGTACTATGCTGCCACCCCTAACTCACCTGTTAGCATGAGATAACAACACAGGAATGTTTGGAGAAAGCATTTCCACACTGGATATTTTTCATAAAAATAATAATATGCTTATGTATAAAGTCAAATGTTTCTGAATCATAAAAAGGAAATGATGATCCTCTTCTGCTTTATTGCATACATCCTCATTCTCCCAAGGTAATCATTGTCAACAGTGAAGGGTTTATTTTTCTATGTTTATCTACACTAATACAAATTTATGCAAAAAAGAAATTTGTATTGTACGCTTTTACAAAATTAGTTTTTGTTATGATGCTAAAAACAGAATTCAAGGCCTTGCATTTGCTAAACTTTCACACTACCTCTGAGTTACACCATTATCTTTGGCTCAGAGGATACTCTTTAAATTGACTTTGTGTGTCTGTGTGTGTGTGTGTGTGTGTGTGTGTGTGTGTGGCAACTCAATTATTATAAATGCAATCATTCCTTGTTGATTCACATTCAGGTTTCTTCCACTATTTTACCACTAGAAATGTTATAACGAACATTCTTACATGCTATACATCCTTATAAGCTAGAACTTTTTGAATCTGCCAAATAGGTTCAAAACACAGAGAGTATGGGGAGTCAAAGGATGCTGTTTTATTTTCATAGAAACTACCAAATTGCTTTCCAAACTGAGGTATCAATTTATGGTCATCTCAGAATTGCTTAACAATTGTAATTTCCCCCAACTTTCACCAGACCAGAATTTTATCAAATATGTCAGTCTAAATCCTCAAACACAGGGCCATTTAATTCAATAGCTCTGTAATTTTAGTTTTCTGAACTGATTTATATTTAATTTGTCTATCTCCCTATAGTCTCAAGATGTCTGCTGCTTGTCTAGAAATTTCTTCTTCCTCTAATGAGGTAAGCAACACAGAACTTCATGGATCACTCACATAAGAAAGAGCTGAATATAAGGGTGATAAGTTATTCATAGACTTATTAAGGAGGCTAGAAAGACAGGGACAAGCCGGACAACAGTCAACACATCTATCAATACATGCCAGAGCAACAGTCATGAAACAGAATTGGTCAGAAAAAAATTTTTTCAGAACATTTCAAAATCATGAAACAAAACAATTGGTCACACTGCCAATTCTGCACCAAGAAAATCAAGCTTGCAGCAACTTTCAGCTGTCTCCAGAGAATTCCCTTTTGTGATATTGTGAAATATATATTTGGTCTCTGACCCTGGTTCCTGAGACAGAGCTCCTACTGCCCTTTATTGACAAGGTTCTGGGAAATCACTGGTTTCAGTGAGTCCAGTCTTGGTAGGGTGCTAGACAGGCTCAGGATAGGGAGCTGGTTGTCAGTGTAAGCAACCATGGGATTAGAGGTTGGGAACTTTTCGCCCAACCCAAAAATTCCAGAGAGGGAAGAAGTGCTGAAGGTTGGAGTTGGTGGATGGTAAATTATGTGATCAGTCATTCCAGTGTAATAATGCCTCTGTGAAACGCCAAAAGATAAAAGTGTGGAGAGCCTATAAATTGTTAAACAAGTGGAAATAACTAGAAAATAATGTACCCAGAAAGGGCATGGAAGTCCCATGACCCTTGCTCATACCTTCTCCTATGCATCTGGCTTCCATCTGGTTGTTGATTTGAACCCTTTGTAAGAATCTTTATAAAAATTATTTTCCTGAACTTTGTAACTCACTCTAGTAAATTAAGTAACCTTGGGAGGAGGTATAGTGGGATCCTTGATTGATAGTCCATCAGCCACACAAGTCACATCCTGGGGCTTTTGCCTGTCATCTAAATGAAGTAGGGGGAAGGAAGTCTAATAGAACCAGTGCCTTGACTTGTGGGACCTGACAGTAACGCTGAGAAGATAGTGTTAGACTGAATTGAATTATAGCGTACTCACCTGGTGTCCATCAGAGAATGGTTTGGTCAAGCGAGGGGGATCCTAACACATTTTGATGATCAGAACACAAAAGGAAATTTCTTTGTTTATTTTAAAGAGAATTTTAAAAATTAACAAAATAACAACCTACAAAAACAAAACAAAGCAAAAACAATAAAAATGATACAGGATTTCAGAACAAAGAGATAGGAATTAACAGTGATTGTTACATTACATATCATTATCTTCAACAAAGTTGCTCAGATTACCAGATGTAAGCATGCAAGATTGATCAAACCATTAAAGAGAATAAAAAATAATGAAAAAACATTAGAAACAATACAGAGCTTCACTAATCAAGATGGTAGGAATTCACCAATGGCTGTTATATTGCATATTGTTGTCTTCAAATTAGTTGTTCAGATTACCAGATATAAGCATGCAAAATTGGTCCAAAAATTTTAAGCATTAATTGTTCCTTTCAATAAACCAATAGATATCAGAAGTACAATTATCCCAACTATCCATATACATGTTTCCCTTCCTTTTTTCAAAAATAATTTTTTTTTCATCACACATAATCATCTCTGCATTGGCATCACTTGAAGGAATCTCAGTTATATTGTCACCCGTAAAAAGGTGACAACTGAAATTTTCAACTTTTCTGGTATGAGCAGTCTGTACCTCCCATTAAAACTAGTGAAATGGGGGGCTGGGGATTTAGCTCAGTGGCAAAAGCGCCTGCCTGGCAAGCGCAAGGTCGTGAGTTCGGTTCCCGGTACCGGAGAAAAA